ATGATACCAGAAGGAAGGCTATTTTGTGTGATGGGAGGGTGCTGGTCCTCTGTTCTACAGCATCTAAAGTCTCAAAATCCATTACGCTAAAGGTGGAGGAGAAGCTATATGAGATAGAAGTGGTGGAAGAGGAATGGAGATCGGATTTGGACTGGTGGCTGTCGGACGAAGACCGGCGGAGCTCGATGAGCACTGCATTGGAAACTCATTCAATGCAGAGCGAAGATGACGGGCACGAATTAAATACTAACGTGATTAGTGGCGAGGATGATGACAGTATTGATGTGGAGCCGTTACACAAAGAAGGTTTTTTGAATTCAAGATTGCAAGAGATAACGGCATGCAACAACAATGCCAACTTTGATTTGCCGCGGGAATTTGGAGAAGCTAATGGGCATGATGCAGGCGAGGCGAATGACGAGGGGAATGGGCTGATAGGGAGTGCTGTCCATAATGGGCTGGAGGAGAGTATTGGGTTTACTCAAGGCCCAACAAATGAGGTAATTAAAGACAATGAGGAAGAGCCCATGGGAGAGGATCTAGAGGATTCCAGCACAGCTCATAAAGAAATATTCAGAGACGGGATGGGTAAAAGAAGGAGAAAAATTACAAATTGCTACCCGGAGGAGTTGACTGAAATCCGAAAAGAGAGGGCAGCCTGGGTCACGGCACGGACAAAGCAGAGGTAAGCACGAAGGGCAAAGAGGGTTCAACTGGTGACCGATGAAATGGTGAAAAGAGCTGGAAGTGTGTCTGTATCAAATGGATGCATTGAGCACCGAAATCAGGTAATAAAACGAGATCTAAACTTGCAGGAGGTGAGGAAGATGATGAATATAGGGAGAAGGTTGGGTATGCAATTTCAGGAAAATGAAGAGGAGATTGAATCTAGACTATGTGTGATGAAGGAACGGGATGAAAGGAAGGGGCAAATTCCGTGAGGTGTGGGCGGGTTTGGGCAGTGTGGATGTGGGTATTAATTTCTTGGATGAAGGTGTTGTCTTTTAATGTTAGGGGTTTAGGGAGTATGCTGAAGAGGAAGGAAGTGGCGAAATTAGTGCGAGTTGAAAGACCAGATTTCTTGTTTTTACAGGAAACCAAATTAGAAGAGATGGATGAGGGTCTTTGTGGAATGGTGTGGCATTCGAAGGGTTTTGAGTGGGTTGTGAAAGGGTCTATAGGGGCTTAAGGCGATTTGCTCTGTGTGTGGGACAGGATGAATTTTAGTAAGCTGGGTCAATTTACAGGGGATGGGTATCTAGGAATAAAAGGGCTTTGGGGTGTGAAGAAGGAAATGTGTTATTTCGTGAATGTTTATGCGCCAACTAATAGAACGAAAAAAGCTGAGCTATGGGCTGAGTTGAGGCAAATGATTATGGAGGAGGGTGGAAGATGGCTGATCGTAGGGGATTTTAATGCAGTACATAGTATTGAAGAAAGGAGGGGTAAAACAGGGGAGAGTCTGGATATGAAGGAATTTAATGATTTTATAGAGGCAGTGGGGTTGGTGGACCATAAATTGGCGAATCGAAGATTCACTTGGTATAGACCAGATGGCACATCTATGAGCCGTCTGGATAGGGTATTGATGACAACTGAGATGACCGAATTGGGTGGAGAATGGGTGCAACAGGGTTTAAAGAGAACTATTTCAGATCATTGTGCGATCATTATGAAAACCAGAGTATCGGATTGGGGTCCTAAACCCTTTAGGGTGCTTGATGTTTGGCAACAACATCCGGAGTTTAAGAGGGTGGTGGAGGAACAGTGGAATGCAATGGCAGTGGATGGGTTTGCAGGTTATAGATGTAAACTAACATTGAAGATGTTGAAAGAATTCTTGCGGGAATGGAACAAAGGGGTGCTTGGGGATATAGAGGCTCAATTTGAAAGGGCAGCTGCCAAAGTTGCACATGTGGACATAAAGAATGAAGAGTTTACATTGGATGAAGATGAGGTACATGAAAGACAGAAGGGCTTTCAGGAGACATGGGATAGTATGAGGAAGAGGGAAGCTTTATGGAGGCAGAAGTCAAGAAGTAACTGGGTAAAATTGGGGGATGCAAACACCAGATTTTTCCATAAAATTGCAAATGGACGGAAGGCTTGTAATGGCATTGTAGGGCTCTCATGTGACGGACAATGGGTGGAGGAGCCAGAGCTGGTAAAAAAGGTGGCTGTTGATTATTTTCAAAAGTTGTTTTGTGGAGAATCATGGAACCGTCCAAAACCATCTAGCATTATTTTCAAGCAGATTTCGGAGGAGATGAAGGTATGGCTAGAAAGATCATTTTTGGTAAAAGAGATTGAAGATGGATTGAAGAGTTGTGAGGGGAATAAAGCACCAGGACCGGATGGATACAACTTTAATTTTATCAAATTTGCCTAGAACAGCTTGAAGGAGGATTTTGTGAGTTTTTTTGGGGAGTTTCATCAACATGGCAGGTTAGTAAAGGGTCTAAATTCCTCTTTTTTGACATTAATTCCTAAAAAGCTGAATCTTGTGGAATTAAAAGATTTTAGACCTATTAGCCTGATTGGGTGTATTTACAAATTATTAGCAAAGGTGTTGGCAAATAGGCTTAAGGAGGTAATGTCACAGATTATTAGTGATACTCAGTCTGCTTTTGTTGGGGGGCGTCAGTTGGTTGATGGAGTGCTAGTCTTGAATGAAGTTGTTGAGGAGGTCAAGAGACGAAAGCACCAAGCTTTTATTTTTAAGGCCGATTTTGAGAAGGCCTATGATTGTGTCGATTGGTCATTTCTGGATTGGATGATGAACATGTTCGGTTTTGGAGTGCGATGGAGAGGATGGATAAAGGAGTGTCTTTCAACAGCAAGAATCTCAATGTTAGTGAATGGAAGTCCAATCGAGGAGTTTACGATGGGAAAAGGGTTAAGGCAAGGGGATCCTTTATCTCCTTTTTTGTTTCTGATGATTGCCGAGGGGTTACATGGTCTAGTCAAAAAAGCTGAGACAGAGGGCCTGCTACATGGAATCGATGTGGGTAGCAAGGGATTGACTATTTCTTTGCTCCAATTTGCGGATGATACGGTAATCTTGGGAAAAGCAAATGAAGAGAATATTTTTACTGTGAAAACCATTTTACGATGGTTTGAATTGATGTCTGGACTGCGAATCAACTTTTGTAAAAGTAGTATTGTCGGATTTAATGTGGCACAGAGATGGTTAAATGGAGCAGCAACTGTTTTGAGATGTGGTGTTAGGAAGCTACCTTTTGTGTATTTGGGAATGCCTGTGGGTGGAAACCCTGGGACTAAGAAGTCGTGGGACCCAGTGTTGAATAAATTTCGAACCAAGCTTGCCGTCTGGAAATCTGCTTGCTGTCCTTTGGTGGCCGCATTACTCTGCTTAATTCGGTACTCTCTTCCTTACCTATTTTTTATGTCTTTATTTTTAGCACCTAATTGCATGGTGTCTGAGTTGATTAGAATACAGAGGGATTTTCTGTGGGGAGGGGCTGAATTAAAGAGGAAGATTCCTTGGGTTAGTTGGGAGATGGTGTGTCGTAGTAAGGAGAAGGGTGGGCTAGGAGTCACGGATTTGAGGAGGAGGAATTGGGCACTTTTAGGGAAGTGGTGGTTTAGGTTGGGTGATGGTGGTGAGAGCCTATGGAAACAGGTCGTTTGGGATAAATATTATGGAGGTCGGAGGGAGGTGGACATTAGGGCAGTAGATAGTGTGAGGGTGTCTAGGATTTGGAGGGATGTTATTAGTGTCGAGGGAAAATCTATCCAATTACAAGACATGTTAGGGAAGGGGTTTAGGTGGATGGTTGGAGATGGAAGGCGTGTAGGTTTTTGGCATGAGATTTGGGTGGGGGATAAATCTTTAAGGGATTTATGTCCTAGGTTATTTGAGCTCGCTATGAAAAAGGACGGTATGGTTTGTGAAATGGGGGGTGGGAAAGGGGCTTATGGAGATGGAATATTGACTGGAGAAGAGGGAGGTTGGGTCAAGAGAAGGGTGAGGAGGTGGTGTTGTGGGAGGTGCTAAGCAGAGTACAAATCATGGAAGACCGCGAAGATTGCTGGAAATGGATGCATGATGCAGAAGAGAGATACGCAGTGAAGAAGGCTTATGAGTTTCTGTCACCAATGGAGTCCATTCTTCCTGATCAAATTTGTAAGTTGATTTGGTGTAAATTAGTACCCTCAAAAGTTAGTTTCTTTGGGTGGAGATTATGTTTGGATAGACTCCCAACAAAAAGAAATCTAGAAAAAAGAGGGATTAATTTGTCGGTAGAAGAATTAAGGTGTGGTTTGTGCACTAAAGAGGAAGAGGAGTGTAATCATTTATTTTGTTTATGTGATGAAGCCTGGTTAATTTGGGTTCAAGTGATTTCTTGGTGGGGTATGCAGGTTGTGATGCCCAATACAGTGGGAGGGGTGATGGAGTTTTTCTTGTATGAGTTGGGTGTCTGGTAGGGAGGGAGCTAGGGGCCTGTCTTTTCCTTATTGGGTCTTGGTATATTTGGTATTGGAGGAACATTAGAGTTTTCCAGAACAAAGGGGAGTGTAGGGACGGTTTGCTCCATATGATTCAGTCCAAAATGTTTTTGTGGATCAAAAATAAGGTGGTTGGAAGTCTTTTCTCGTTATTTGATTGGCAATTTCATCCACTGGAATGTGCTACTGCCATAAGGAAGCATAGAAGCCCGCTGAGGGAGTTCCGTAAGCACAAAAATGGAGAGCATGCTGAGTAGTGTGATTGGTTTTTTAGTTTAAATGTTTCTTGAGAATTTGTATCTTGGTTAGACTATTTTAATAGTTTGTATTTGGGTTGGAGTACCCCTTGTACTCTATATAATCAAATCTCATTTATTTTGCTGATAAAAAATATATATATATTCCTTATAGAGAGGAGTCGAATATATATTCCTAAAGCATAATCTCGAATGTAAGGGACGTCTTAAATAGGATTCTCACTTTAAAAAAAAAAAAGAAAAAATATGTAGTTTAAATATAATATAAATTACTCTATTTATTATTATTACTATTAGTTTTAAATTAGATCCTTGTTACTATGTGTAGAACATGTTTTCTAACAATTGTAATATACATTAGCATACTTGTATATAACATTTCCAAATCTCTTTCCTATGATTAATTATTTTAAGA